GCAGGAACTTTCCCTTGATATCTATAATTTTGTTGAAGACATCTCGTCTTTCTCCTTCTACTGTTTCCTTCTACTTCCTTGCATTGCTCATTTAAGAAAACCTTATCTTTCCTTGCTGTTCTCTGGAATTTTGTATTCAGTTGGGTATATCTTTCCTGTTTACTTTTCTTCTTTCCTCAGCTATTCATAAAGTCTCATTAGACAGCCATTTTGCTCTCTTGCTCTTCTCTTTCTTTGGAATTTTTTTTTTTTTTTTGCTGGCTTCTGTACAACATCGCAAACTCTGTCCATGGTTCCTCAGGTACTTTATCTCCCAGATTTAGTACCTTACATCTATTCATATTCATAAATGATGTTATTTACTTATAGTCTTCCCCATTAAACAAAAACTTTATATATTTCATCATTATTTATACTCTTCTAATTGCTCAAATGCATTTAACCTTTCTATGTTTCTTTCCTCTCCAGGGTTTCATTTGCAAGATTCTAATTAAAAATTTTAAAGTAATGCTTGAAAATTCTCTATTCTATTAAAGATCCATTCCCATTCTATCCTACCCCAACCTCTTTTAGGGTTAATACTCAGTTTTCCAGGGTAAAAGCTATTCTTAGTTGTAAACCTTTATAATTTGTCTTTTAAAAAGTTCATTTTCCAAGATTTTCTGTCCTTTAAAGTAGTTGCTGCCAAGTCTTGTATGATCCTGTGATTGATTCTTTGGTACTTGAATTTTTTCTCACTACTCCCAATCTTTATTGACTTGGAAGCTCTGCATTTTGTCTATGATATTCCAGGATGTTTTCAGTTTGGAGTTTCTTTTTTGAAGGTGGCCAATGGCATCACTTAGTTCTCTGGTTCTAAAAGATCTGGGGAGTCCTCACTTAGGATTTTGTGAATTTTAGTAGTCATGTTTTTTCCTTCCCCCTAACCATGTTTTTCAGAAAGTCTGATGATTCTTTTCTCACTCCTTGTCCTCTTTTTTCAGATTAGCTATTTTTGAAAGCATATATCTTTTATTTTTATTTTTTCCTAATCTTTTTCTATATTTTTCAGTATTCCCAACATTTTTACTATTTCTTGATGCTTCATGATGTTCTGCTTACTCCATTCTATTTTTCAAGCTGTCCATTACTTGGGTAAGGCTTTCCACCTTTTGTTCTAAGCTATTTATTCTCTTTTAAATTTTCTCCTTCCAAATTCTAATTTAATTTTTTATTTCTTATTTTATTTATTTCATCCATTCTAGTAGTCCCGGTAGTCTGAGGACATTGTGGAATTACACTCTTATTCTGGCTTTTTCTTAAGATCACTCAATTTTTCTACATGGTATTTGGTCTCCTGTTTACTCATATTTCAGCATCAGTTCTCACACTGCAATTTTGTACAGAAGCCTGTAACACTCTTAGATGGATTGAATAGACCTTGTTTGGTCCTGTCCCCTCTGCTGGATGTCATTATTACTGCCAATTCAGATGCAGTGGCAGCATTAGGTCCCACCCACTGCCTTAATCCCGAGATTCTGTCTTCATCTTCTGGTGGTCTATGTCAGATTCTGGCCCTGGATGAACTCAGTCTTTTTCCATTTCTGCTATGGCACTGAGAGGGTCTGTTGAGATGTTGGATATTACACTGGTTTAGGGCAGGCTTGCACAACATATGGCCTGCAGGCAATGTGTTGTGCAGGCCTGTTTTATATCCTCTACATTTTTTGCGGGCCTACTGAGATCCTTTGGTGGGTCTAGAGCGGTATTATGTACAGGGGCTTGCCCTAAGGGAACTTTGCATAGTCAGTTTTGCTGAGGGATTTGCATAAAGCAGGCCTTACACAACATACCACTCATGGGCCATATGTCGTGCAGGCCTGGTTTAGGGCTTCCTGCACAGTCCCCCTGGTGCCAGTGCCTTGGTGTCAAATTGGCTCTGTATTCTATTGGCTCCCAGGAATACATGGACAGGGCCCATCTCCCTTCATAATTATCTAATGGAGTTAGTTCCATCCTTGATCATGTTCTAACTAGCTAGGGCCAGAATGTGGCTATAGGTCTTGATTATTAGAGCTTGACCTTCATTCCACTCAGAGAAATGGTTGGTTTCACACCCACTTGCGGAAACTTGTGCTGGTTTGCGTGGTATAACCTCTCTCCTAACCTCCACCTGCGTCTGGCCCATTTACCTGTACTCACATGGATGTCTCTGGTATGGCACTAGTCCCCAGCTCCACTGGCCTCTGATTGCATTATATAAATTTAAGCTGGCTTCTCTGGCATTACTCCTTAACCCCCCTTCACTGGATTCCATTATTGCCTGAATGTGTGCTGACTTTCCTGGTAAGATACCTGAACCCACTCCTGATGGACACATCTTTTGGTAAAGTTCTGCGTTATCCAATGTAGACCTTCTGATTCTTATCACTAGTATTTATGGAGTTCTTGTTTTCTGGGGTTTAAGTGGAAGAGCTGAGCTTCTTTACTGTCTTTCATATGTCATCTTTAAGTCCTCTACCACTGTCCTGTTAAATATGATTCTTGATCACAATTCCACTGAAGTCACTAATCTATGGTATAGGGGAATGAGTTTTAGGCTCTGAGCTAAAAAACCTAGGTTCTAGCTGAGCTTCTGCCACTGTGTGACCCTAGGCATGTATCTCTTTTCCTCTGGGGATTTTAGTTTCCCAATCATCTCTAAGATTTCTTCCACTCTACAAAAGAAGTACATTCTAAATTTAAATCTTCCTTAGACCCTCTGTGCAGGCTATTCTGTGGAGAAAGACAAGGACACTCATTCACTGCTCTGGGGACCTCCTAGTCTTGGCGACGGACATGACTTGCACATGTCGAGCAATAAACAAGACAGGTCATGATTCAATTATGTGGTACAAACAATAAGAAATACAGCAGCTCAACAAGGGATCAGTGTGGGCAGAGGACATTAAGCAAGACTTCCTGGAAGAGATGGGGCTTGAGCTGGGTCTGAAATGATAAGATTTTAACAAATAGAGAAAAAATGGAGAGAAGACTCTAGGCAAGAGAGAACAGAATAAACAAAAGCGTAGCTATGGAAATGAGCATGGTGCATAACTTCAAATCTAGTATTTTCCAATATTCTATGCTGATTCTAAATCCCTTCTAGCTTTAATGCTGTCACATTCATTTTAACATCAATACAAAATTAGTGAGCTCAAGAATAAGCTTAGGGAAAAGCTAGAAGGGATTTATACTAATTATACAGCCTACCCCCTTCTCATTTTACAGAGGAAGAAAGCGAACTCCAGAGAGGCTCTCCAAGGTCACACAGGTAAGAAAATAGCACAGCCAGAATTTGTATGTTTGTCCTCTATGGGGAAGGTACAGTGATTTCTCATATCTGGCTCCTCATGCTTCTCTGAACCTCCCCTTATTTCCTGGCCCATGCCCCCAGAACACTGAGCACAGGTTTCAGCAGATAGCTTAGCAAATACTGACTGTGTGGCTGGTCACAGACAGCTACGCAAAACCTTCATCCAGGACACAGGGCTTTGAAGCTTCCTTCCTAATCAACAATTTATAAGGAGATGCATGAGTTGTTTCCCCCAACAGAGGGAAAGGGCTTTGTAACAAGGTAATATTCAAAGTGAATGAAGTGTGACAGAAGGAAAAATGGAGTTTAGCCTCCTTCTACTACTATACCCCAAGTGTAATCTATACCTAGAGTAACCCACTGAAGCCAGTTAAGAGTTTAACATCTACAGGCATAGGGAGGTTCATTTGATTTTAAGATGAAATTTTATCCTGAATCTAAATTACCTCTCTGCTGACAGCCCAGTGCCTGAATTCTGAGACGCTCTTTCTGGGGACAGAAAGGCTTCTGCTTCAGATTATGGTAAATGAGGTAATGAAAATATTCTCTTGTATATGCCCTATATTGATACTACCTGTTATTAATATCAAAGATGAAGAAATGACTGGAGAAAGCTACTTGGGGAACAGTATGCATCTCCCTCAAATCTCCAATTTTGATGTATAGGCCTTGGAAGGTTAAAAGCTTCAGGGCTAATACAAGCTTATCCCAATTTTACAGATGCAGACCCAAAGAAATGAAGTGACTTGCCCGAGGTCATACAGCTAGTAAGGGGAGGGACAATTTAATTAGGCCGATTGGCATTAGACCCTCACAATCTGGGAAGATTAGAGGCTGCCTGAAAGCAGGTGTGTGCAGAGGCAGGGAGGGAGGGGGTCCCAAGGCCACATCTCAACCGGCCCAGGCTTTACTTACTGGTGTCACACAGCTCGCCCTCCCAGCCACTAGGGCAGAAGCACTGGAAGGAGTCGATCTCATCAATACAAGTGCCTCCATTCTGGCACGGCATCCCCAGGCAGTCATTAATGTCTGTGGAGGGAAGAGAAGCTGGAGTTGAGTCACTGGAATAGGACAGAGAAGGAAAGAAGACATTCTTCCTGCTCTCCTCCCACCCCCAAACCACCCAAGAAGTCCTACTGAGACTATGTATTCTTTCCCACCAAAGTGGGGATGAGGATGGAAATGATGTGTGTGGGTAGTTCCAGTAATCCACTTCTTGGTAGCAGTACCAACCTTATGAGGTAGTCAGAAGGGACCCTCAAAAATAACCCAGATAGAGATCCCAATCACAGCTGGCTGACATAGAACCCAGACTTTAAGGAGAGTTTTTGGAGAGGAGATAAGAGGAAGAATAGGATATAGATGTCAGCCAAATGCAAAAGCCTCATCGGTTTCACTGATTAACGTTCTAAATGAATACACAGGAGCTTCAAGCTTTTTTTTTTTTCCTAGGGCCAATAAGGGAGGAAAAAATGGAGAGGGACCTCAGACTCACTCTCATGGCAGTAGGTGCCAGTGAAGCCACTCTCACAGGTACACGTGAAATTACCCCCAGGCTGGCTGATGCATCGTCCATGGGGCCCGCACACATTGGAAGAGATGAATCTTGTAGTGTTGGTGAAGACTTCAATTTCACAGCTGTCTATTACTGGACATGAGAAAAGGAGGAAGAGAAGGGGAGGAACAGTGGATATGTGGCTCTGAGTTGTCCAGGTTCCTGTCTGTCACACCACTCCATCATTTTTGTACACTTTATCCCCAAATCAGAGGCAGAACAGAGTTCAAGCCTGCCATTTGATGAAAAGGGTAAGTACGCCCTAGGGCATGAATACTCCATCTTCTTATTTATTCCTGGTCATCTCGCTTCCCCTGGGACTGAAGTGGACAAAGCTCTGGCCTAGAAATCAAGAGGTATGGGTTCTAATCCTGGTTCTGCCACTGATTCAGAGTGACCTTGATAGACTTATTGTATCTATGCCAGTTTCCCTACTTGTAAAATGGGGACAATAGCCCTCTTTTACAAGGTTACATAAAAATCAAGAGAGGCAAGCTAACCTCATGTATACTATGAAAAGCACTGGCATTTATTAGCTATGTGCACTAGACAAATCACTCTGACCTCTCTGAGCCTCGTTTGTTTCCTCATTTGTAAATTAGAGATAAATGTCCTCACACTATGTGCTTCCCAGGGTTGTTGTGAAGGGAGTGGTTTATAAGCCTCAAAGCGCAAGAGAACTGTGCACTATTTTTACTGTTATAGGAGAAAATGGATTTGAAAGCTTTTTGAAAAATGTGAAAACCTATAGAGATTTGAGGGCAGTTTTTAAAATGCCACAGTTTGACAATGAAGGTCAAAGTTAATGCTAATACTACTTACTGGGGACGATAAAGCATCATTTTTTTCCTAATCATTTTCAATACCTTCACAGAATCTTGGAGCTGGAGATACACGGGACGTTTACTCTAACAGTCATATTAAGCAGAATCCCATTTCATTCAGGTGGAACCACAGTCCAGCTTTGAGGAGCAACACTAGGGTGGGATTTCCAAACCCTAAACTGAGAAGGATCCTATTATAACATCTTCAACAAGATGCCTCTCCCACCTTTCATTTAGTTATTCCTTTTAATCTCTGCACATGTTGGGAAGGAGGGGGACTCCTACCACTTTGCCATATGAAGAAAACGGATATCCAAAGAGGGACAGTGACTTGCCCAGAGCCCTTCAGTAACCAAGGGTCAGAGTTAGGATTAGACCCTCAGTAATGGATGGCTCATCAGTGCCCTGAGCAGGTGACAAGAGGGCCTAGCAGACTCAGTGTTAGAGCTGGACGGGGCTTTAGCTCTGTACTCTAACCTCTTTAGTTTATAAGTAGCAAGCAAGGGCAGAGCAGGGATTAGAACCCAGTTCTCTTGAATCAGAGCCTACCTCACACCACTGACTCTACCGGGTGCTGCCTTCCTTCAATTATTAAATTGTAATCTGCATCCATGAAAGGAGCAACTACATGAATGAGCTCGCAGATCCACTCAAGTATCAAAGAAACAATTATTCCCCTTTTCTATAGCACTTTACAGTTAATGAGGTACTTTCCCCCTCAAATCCTGTAATGTTAGGTTGTATAAGGACTATCATCCTGACTTTACAAATAAGAAAACTGAAGCCCAGATAAGAGAAGTGACTTGCCCATAGTCATACAGCCAGTTAAGTGTCAGAACAGATGCAGACCCAGGTCTCCTGCCTCTTTGCTCATTTATCCAATAGCATTAGACCTCAACCCTGTGCCCTGGGCTGAAAAGTATCATCTCTCTCCTATCCATACATGCTCCCACTCCTTGTCAGCAACCCTGCCCGCCATGCTGTGTCAAAAGGCTTGTGTCCTGTGGGGTTGGGGGGAATCAAACACCTTTGCAAGAACCATTCCTGCAGTGGTCTTTAGGGTAGGAGCAATTCTTTCCATCATAGTCTTCAGGACAGGCACAGTAATAATCTCCTTCCAGACTGTAGCAGCGGGCTCCATTCTGGCAGGGGTAAGGCTCACAGAAATCAATGTCCACCTGGAAGGACAAATGCCAGATATGAGCTATAGCTTCCCCTGGGGAGATTGGGGGTTCCCAGGCCTACCACAGGAAACAGGGCCATGTCCTACTAACCTTGGGATATTTTAACATAGCAATGTTACACTCAAACCCTATGCCCTTTCTTCTCCAGGTCAATTCTTTCAACTAGTCCTGAGAAGTGGGAAGGCCACAGGTATGAAACAGAGAAGGCACATTTGAAACAGCTGAATCTTCCTCCTCATCTTAGGGAGTCATAGGTGGGTAACACAATGAGGGGTGGGGAATGGTGGGGCATGGCTACATCTGAGTAAAAAGGGATCAACTGGGTCGAGGGGCAGTTCTATACCTTCCTAGACAAACCCAGAATTACTTCAGGAAAATCTAAGTCAAGCCTCAAAAAAGTTCATTTAACTTTAGTGAATTATTATGCCTTCTCCCAATGCCAGGGAGAAGACCCTGGTTCTCAAAGACCATGCCAGGGAAGCACAAGTGTTGGCAGATCTCAAGAAGCTGAAAAGCCTTCAAGGAGGACGTTGGTGACGGGCTGTACATCTGTCATCCAAGGACTAGGTTCAGTGGAGTGTGGTCAAATTCATCACCAATATATTAGCACAGAGGTAAATTTTCTTAGTTACAACTGCTCACAAGAAGAGTCTGCTAAGGCATGGATATGGTGTACTAGGATTCCCACCCATAACATGATGAAGCTATAATGTATTGGAATGCCAAGTCCAAGACTCTGGGTGTAGGAGGTACTCAGACAGATAGAGTCTGAATTATTTGTTAGGTTTTAATACATTCCACATACCCCTCCCTCCATTCTCATTGTTCCTTTTCTCCTCTTCTGCATGTCTCATAGCATCCTGCCTAGTCACCTAACACTGTGCTAGACTGTGAAGTCACTGAGGGAGCTGAGCAGTTCTCATTTACCCATGACCCTACCTCTACAATGTGGCCCTACAAGGGATCATGTTAATAGCTGGGCTGTGGATATGTGTGGTGATGAACACCATGAGATTCTTTTCCTCATCCCAGAACTTGCAATATCCTCCATCTGAAAAAAGACTTATCCTTGATTAACTTGGGGCAGTGGTGTCAAATAAAAACAGAGGCCACTAAGCTATATGTAAGGATCCCTGTGGGCTATACATTGACTTAGAAAACCATATATTAGCATTATGTTTTACTATATTTTCATTTATTTTGTTAAATATTTTTCAATTACGTTTAATCTGATTCAGCAGCACTCAGGAATGTTGTCAGCCCCATGTCCGACAGCTCTGACTTAGGGGACCACTGTTTAAAGAATAGTAACTCAGAAAAAGAGTTTTTTGAAGGTGACTACTGATCTTTTTCATTCAATTACAGAATCTTAGAATCTCAGCATTAGAAGAGATGTCAGAGAACACCTAGCCCAAACCACACTTGAATGAAAATCTCTTGTATAACTGCATTCCAGCCATCCAACCCCTGACTGAACACTTCCAGCAAGAGGAGGCTTCAGTCCCACTCAAGGCAACCTCTTCCATTCTTGGATAGCTCTGCCATCTTGAAAACGAATCTTCATTTTGAGCTGGTCTGCATTTTGCTAACAAAGTTGCAGGTTCTAGTTTTGCCTTCGAAGGCCACTTAAGTCAAAATCAGTTCTGTCCTTCCAAGTGACAGACCTTTGCATGTTTTAACATAGTGATTATCTCTCCATATCCAAACCCTTAGCTTCTCCTCCTTCAGGTCAAAAATCTCCAGTTCCTTCAACTAGTCCTGATTCGTCAGTTTCCAATCCTCTCAACATCCCGACTGCTCTCCATCTTGTCAATAGACTTATTACAATTTGGTGTCCAGAAATGAACACATCTGATGTGGTCTGACCAGGGCAGAGGACAGGGAGACCATTATCTCTCTCAGTCTTGATACTAGATCATCAGTGCAGCCTAGTGGAAGGCAGTGGCTCTCACAGGTCATGCCAGAATATCTTAGAAGGAAACATCTGTGTTTCTCCAAACATGTCTGTGGGAGGCCCAGCCCCAAAGCTTCCCAGCCAAAGTGACTGAATCATGCAGAGGTGCACTCCCTGACCTTCACAGGGATGGTGTGGTGTTTCCTCTGCCTGCATACAGAGGACAGGGGGTGGGGAGGGGACTGGGAAGGCATCCAGACAACATGTGGACTTTTCATTCACGACAGGAAAGCCCTTCAGGCCACTCGAGGCTGTGCTGGCTTCAAAAGCTTGTCTGAAATGTCTCTTTCAAAACTGAAACTCTTATTTTTCTCCTAAGCATCAGCCACCATTTTTGAAATTCAAATTTAAACAAAATTCAAACTCCAATGCCAAGGGGTCCTTGTAACAAAGTCATTCATCTTCTCAGAAACAGGCTTATCCTATTTCTATGCAGAATTTACCATCATGTTCCAGCAAGCAACACCAGGGGCCAAAGGAGATATACATCTGGGCCTCCCTCCAAGGAAGCCCCATAGAACTCAGAACACCCCCATTCTATCTGTCAACATCTTCAGAGAAGAAAGATGACCATGTGCCTCTCTGTAAGTATTCTTTCTACTCGCTGTCCCCACCATCCCTCCCTCAGTGTACATGATCTCCAAAGAAATGATAGGTAACATTTAGATGTTGCCAATAATAGATTCCAAGTATTGTTCTCTGTTTGCAAACCAGACACTTTAATCATTAACATGGGGTTTCAGAGCAGGAAGGGATCTTAGAAAATCATCCAGCCCAGTGCTTTCATTTTATAAATGATGAAACAGGCACAGCAAGATTAAGGGATTTGATAAAGCTCACAAAGGTTAAGCGTCCGAACTGGAATTCAAATCCAGGCCTTGGGCTCCAAATCCAATGTTCTTGTCACAATTACCACAAAGCGTCCTAAGAAGCAGTGCAGGAAACCACACAGCTTAGCTGGGATGTTTCCCTGTGTTTTCTAGGGGGTACTGCTGACCCTAAGGGAAGCATTATGAGAATGAAGCAAGCTCTCAGATCTCTCCTATCAGACACCTCCACTCATTTCCTTCCAACAGTCGGAGTTTCCCTTTCCAATTTCCACTCGGCGCCGGGCACTGATGAAGGAGGGTGGGGGTAGAGGGGGGAAGACTTCCTGTTACAAGGAAAACAGCCAGCCAGTTCAGCCTATTTAATTTCAGCCCAGTCCCCAGTCTTCACGACCCCTCACCCATGGTCAACAGCCTATACTGAGAGTCATGGAATTCCAGATCTGGAAAGGGCCTCCAAGGGCCCCAAGCTCAATATTTATCTGAACAGCAATCTCCTCTATGACATTCATCACATTAAGATTGTGCTCTTAGACATTTAGTGACAGGGGAGCTTGCTAATGTTCTGAGGCAGTCCAGTCCACTTCTGGAAAGCTCTAATTGTTAAGAAGTTATTCTTCATATTGAGGTGACACATGCCTTTTGTAATTTAAGATCACATAATCTCAAAGCTGGAATCTGAGCAGAAGCCACCTATCAAGTCCAACTCAATACCTGAAAAAGAATCCCCTCTATGACACTTCCAGCAAGTGCTTGGAAGATTTCCAGTGATGGGGAACTTATTACCTTACCACAGCAATCAGTTTTACACTGTTCTGATGGTTAGGAAGTTTTTCCTTAAATTGAGCTGAAATATGCCTCATTCTCTCCCAGACTAACATGCCCAAAGCAAAACAGCTAGAAGATTCTTTTTAAAAATCAAAACAAACCCTGGGGACCACGATAAGAGAAACAATAAGTTAAACAACACAAGGAGACTTTTTATCACTTACTACCTCCCATGAAGCCAGATAGGGAGCCAGATGGGGGCCTTGGTACTTTTGTGTATTCCCATTACGGGGTAAAAAAGGCCCTGATGCCTCTTGAGAAGGGAAGGGAAGTTGGATCACGAACAACACTTTTTATTTAGAAACAAACACCTCACAGTCTGCAGGCCAAAATGGATTCATTTAGAATTAGAAACATGTTAGAATTTAGAATTCTATCTTGCCAAACACTAGGCCTCAGCAAAGTAATAAGATGCGCTCACATAGAAAGGAGACCTGCATCCACTGATTCCTAAATAAAATAGAGAAGACAGACCTGTAACAACATACCCAGGTCACACCTCCCAGGGACTTCTTCACAGAAAGACCTCATAGAACCAACATTGTTTTTTTCTGGAGTACTCTGGGGTCCTTGGACTTTTGAGATGACCCTTTTTATTCTAGGCTTCCCTGCCATGGTCCCATAAGCCCATATGGATACCATCAGCATTCCCTGGGGAAAGAGAAAGCCATTCACTTACCTCACAGAAGACACCAGAGAAACCCTTCACGCAGTGGCAGCGGAAGCCATCCACTAAGTCCTCACAGAGCCCCCTGTTCTGACAGGGGTTGCTGGCACATTCATTCTTCTCCAGCTCACAGTGCTTGCCCATAAAGCCCCGGGGACAAAGGCACTGATAGCCATTCACCTCATCCTGGTTAACACAGGGCAGAGAACAGGACTGAAATCATCATCATCATCATCATCATCACTCCCATTAGATTTGCAAAGTGCAACCCTTATATCAACTATGTGAAGTAGGCAGTGCCACATGATGTTATTTTTAATATTATTATTCTTGTTTGACATTTTGTAGATGAGAAAAAAAACTGGGCCTCAGCAGTATGATTTACTATAGGTCACATAACTAATAAGTGTTAAAGAATCAGGGCTAGAACCTAGGTCGCAGGATTTAGTGCTAGAAAGGATTTGATCAAGTCCAACCCCATCATTTTACAGAGGAGGAAACTGAGGTCCAGATATTCAAAGTAACTTGTTCAAGGTTACAGACGCAGCTGGCAAGGCCATGATTCGAAACCAATTTCTCTGAATAAATTCAATAATCAGGAAAGGTGAATGATTCCTAGGAAGGTGAACTCATGAAGGAAAGCAAAGAATATTTCCCATCCATCTTTTCACCTCTCTGACCTCCAGAGTGTGAAGCACAGGGCTAGTCTGACAGCCATCAATCAGTAAATATTGACCATTTGGCTGAAGAATATGGGCCTTGTGGATCACAGAAAAACTTTATATCAGCTCTGAGGCTTCAAAACTTATGGTTGAAGTCAATGGCTCTAAAGGAGCAAAATGAATGGATTAAAAGTTTAATGGAAAATTCTGATTATAAAATTGAAAAGCTTTTGCACAAGCAAAATAAATAGTCAGAATTAGAAGAGAAACAGTTACCTGGGGGAAAAAATCCTTGCAGCATGTTTCTCTGATAAAGTTATATTAGGGAACTATTTCCCTATATGTAAGAACAAGAGCTATTCCCCAACAGATAAATGGTCAAAGAATATGAGTAGGTAGTTCTCAAGGGAAGAAACTCAAGTTATCAACAACCCTGTGAAAAAAATACTTCAAATAACTAATAAAAAATGAAAATTAAAACATCTCAAGGTTCTACTCACATACCTCATGTTGGCAAATATGACGAACAAGGAAAATGACAATTGTTGGAGGCACCATGGGAAGATAAACACACTAATGCACTGTTAGAGGTATGAGTTGTTTACACATTCTGGAAAGTAATTTGGAGCTATACCTGAAAACTCATTAAACTGTGCCTACCCTTTGACCTAGCATTACCATTACTAGGTATATAACCCCAAAAAATAAAGGATAAGAGGTAAAGCACCCACTTACACAAAAATATTTATAGCAGTACTTTCTGATGTTGTAAACTATGGGGGTGCCCACTATTTGGGGACTGGCTGAACAAATTATGGTATATGAAGATATAAATAATGAAATATTATTGTGTAAAATGATGAAAGGGATAGATTCAGAGAAATTTGTGAAGACTTGTATGAACTAAAGCAGAATTGAAGTGAGCAAAACCAAGACAACAATTTATACAATGACTGTAACACTGTAAGGAAAAACAACCTTGGAGCACTATAATTAATCCAATAACTAACCATAACTACAGAGGACTGATGACAAAGTATGCTGCTCACCTCTTGACAGAAACGTTATGGATTAGAGGTACAGAATTAGCCATGCATTTCCAGATACAACCAATGTAAGAATTTGTTTTATGTGACTATACCTATTTGTTAAAAAGAAGGGTGTTATGGAAAGGGGCAAGGAGATTGGGGTGTGAATATAGTTAATGTCAAATAAAGTTTGTTTGTTTAAAAAAAACCAACCAAAGCATGCCCTAAGCCAACTCTGAATCACATCTTCCTTTCTGCCTAACGTCTAGGGCTTGCATTCTGAGATATGTTGGCATCTACTAGACACAGAAAGGCTGACACTTTGGATTAACATGCCTGGCACATAGTAGGCACTTAATAAGTGCTTACTGAACTGAAATAAAGAGATTGTTACCTTGCATGTGCCTCCATTCTGACACTGCCCCCGGCAGTCATTGATATCTAGGAAACAGAACACAAATTTTACTATCTATTCCCAAACACAGA